TGCCTATATCGATGTGGCTTGATAATTCATTGCAGTCATACATTTATAAAATTTAAAATAAGAGAATGAATTTTTGCTCTTTTCTTTCAGGGTTTAAAAGCATATTCTCTTGTCTTGTGGGGCTCAGTATAATAAATATTCTGAATGCTGGATATTCGATAGAAACTGGACCGAAAGAATCGACGATTTCCTACTCAACTAATCTCCACGCAAATGTTGCTAGAGGGTAAGTTAAAAAGCACACGTCGCATGGTAATAGAGCATCTGCAGTGTTAATTATCCTTATTGTATTAATTGTAACCATTAACCTTATGTTAATTGTATAGCGACGAGAATCTCTCGATCTGTAAATTATTGCATGAAAGATTGACATGACGACTTAGTCAAAGGAATCAAATTGTGCAGAGACCGATGGTGAGATCGATATTTTTGAAAAATTTTGAGAGTATTTTGTACTTCGAAAAAAAGTAGGATAGAAATGATATGGGAACGCATTATTGTGTAATAACTGTAATGAACCATTACAGAAATTATAAGCTATTCAGCGCCTTGACATGTGCATGAACTTAGTAGCGACATCAATGATAATGAACTCCATAACGAATGTAGAGCAAGTATTGCGATACATTTTAAAATGTATCCTGAATACTATAAGATACGGATAGAAAGGGAATGGTTTCGGGGAGAGTTCGCAAAGTGCTTGTCACATTTGTGGCCGCAGTACCGTAGCTTAAATTGATGCAAAGGTACGACGAGCCTTACAGGATGTCCCAAGTAACTCGTAGGTTTTTTGACGTCTTGTCATGAGGGTTGAGGTCATTTAAAACCGTAGCGGAAGGAAGCGTAAGTGGTTAATGACTAATGAGGATCAGGAGCAAAAAGTGACGAAGGATTAGCCCGGGGTATGGTCAATGTCATGGCAGCAGAACAGTCAGAGACACCCGAGAGTAGTAACTATGGACATAAAAGCAAAGAGGAATTTACGTGTGCTCATTTCATATGAAGCAAACTTGAAAAAGAGTATCATAATTCAAACACATTTTCAAAGAGGTGAATACAGGCTTATGTAATAATAACAATAGCGGTTTCAGCGTTTATTAGGCCGTAGGCCTGTCGCCGATTTTTAACATCGCAGAACGTTCACAGCTTGTTGCGGTTTCGAACGCGCAACTCGCTGCCCAATTCTGCTGTGTTTAATCGCCCGGCCTCCTCGCCGATTCTGACCAGAAACCGACGCATAAAGCGGGGATCGAACCCGCGCCTCTGCTCCAATCTTGGTACTCTGAACTGTAACCACTGGGACACCCTGCCTTAGGCTTAGAGAAAACTACTTGAAATTGGGTCAATAATAATAATGGCTGATTCCAAATTAATTAACTGACATCTTTGTTTATAAATGTTTTCTAAACGTTTTTTGTTTCATTTTTCCAGTTAAACGAGAAAAAACAGAAGTGGCAACCAAAGAGCGAATCTTTTAGATTTAAGGAATGTTTCTTTACACAATACCATGCATATCAAGATAAAAAAAACGGACCTTGATGCTTTTGATCCCAAATCATATCGGCCCATCTCCAACATGTCGATTTTGTCGAAACTCCTGGAACGCGTTGTGGCCCGACAGCTGAGCTACCATCTTCAACAGTTTGGTCTTATGCATCGCCTCCAGTCTGTATGCATACCTTTATCTCCACTCGACGGCAACCGCTGTGCTGAAGATGCTTTTAGACATTCTGTGAGCAGTACACCGCGGCGACTTGGCACTGGCTTTACTCGACCTGCCGGCCGCGTTTGACACGGCCGACCACGCCACTTTATGGAGTCGACTTGACGTATCATTCGGCCTCCACGGTACAGTACTGAGGTGGTTCGAGTCATATCTCATCAATAGATTTTAATGCGTTCGAACTCTTCTTCTATGCAATTGTTGGTTACTTGTGCCGTACCACAGGAGTGTGGCGTATTGCACATAAATGATTGTGTTCGCCGACGACACCCAAATTTGCGGCTACTGTGCATCGGCTCACGCTGCAGCGTCGCAGGACCGGATGTCAGTCTTTATGAACACCGTCTCAGACTTGATGCACTCCAACCGACTCCATCTCAATGCATCAAAAACCGACTTAATTTGGTTTGCGACTGCTCGGCGACAGCATCTGCTTCCGGCCAACCTTGTTCGCGTGTGCAACAGTTCGTCATGCTGTAGCGGGCCAGATATTAGTCCCGCTTTGTGTACTAGATTTGAAGCCGCCGCACTACTCGACAGGTGACTGCCGAGAAAAATGTGCTAGACTAACTGTCGTCGGATTTAGTCTGTCTCTAGTAGATAGCCACTTCTTCATACCCATTGTTGTGTCCATAACGATTTTCGTCAAATGTACCTTTCAAGTGTTATTGTATTTTGCGTTTTCAAGTAATTTCTGCATATTTCTCGAGTAAAGAGTAGCCTGAACATCTTCCTTGGTCGTTTTAACCTTCCACGAACCGCAGGGCCCGCTGGCAGAGACCTCAAAGTGTTTTAATGTAGTAGTTTCCCGCTACAATGCCTACGTCTTCGGCTCACAACCGTGGTATCCTGCTGGACTCTGAGCTTTCTTTGAACGATAACATAGCTAAAGTCACCACAACTTTTTTGCGCTCTGCGACGAATACGTATCGTCAGCCGCTGTCTCTCGAGGTCGGCTCTCGAGGCCCTCGTGGTGGCGCAAGTTCCGACCGGATAGGTCTATGGTAATGCCACTCTCTATGAACTTTTAACCACGGCACTGAATAAACTGCAATCTGTAATGAATGTATCTGAACGACTTGTACGTAAAAAACGAAAATTCGACAAGGGGCCCCCCTAATGCGAGATCTTCACTTACTGCGCATGCAACAGCGCACGCAGTTCAAGGTCGCTGTTCTGACGTTCCGATGCCTTCACGGTCTGGCGCCATCTTGTCTCACGAAATGTCTGCAGAGCGTGTCGAATCTGCCAGAAGACCACTACGTTCGCCTTCAACAGCGGACGCGGACCTCGTCGTTCCATCTACACGTGTATCTACCGTAGGCGACCAAGCGTTCCCAGTCACCGCCGCCAGAACCTCGAACAGTCTGCCGGCTTCCGTAACATTGGCTCCTTCGTTGCAGGTGTTTCGTCGACGCCTACAGACGGAACCATTTTGTAGAGCCTATGAACCAAGTGCTTAGTCATTTTTATCCGTTCTCATCCTCTCTCGGGTGTAGTTTTTTTTCGTGTGCTATTAAACTTATGTGTAAAGTGACCTCAAAGATCGTTTGAACAAGAAGCTATGATAAATGTTTCATGTGATAATAATAATAACGACAAGTAACTTTTCGAAAGCAGCTTTGTTAACGGAAGCTTTACTCACTTTGCTCAATGATTCTTCCGACTGCAGAACATTAAGACTCTGTATCATAGAACTGCGAAGTCTAAGTTCCCTGAGACCAGCGGATCGCTGTAAAATCTGAGCTCACGTATGTAATCGGCCGTCACCAGACCCTGTATCCGTGATCACTCCAACGATATATTTGTGGGCCCCAGGCCTTCTTGAGGCAACGGGTGGCTTTCAGGTGGCCGGTGAAAAGCCAGAGGAAGGCCGGAGCAAACATGCTATGGCCAACCGCTAGCCACTCACGATCCAGGTAGGAGGAGGATATTTATTACTCAATTTTATTCCAGAAAATTGTTATTGTTTGTCAAAAGGATGAAATCCAATTCAGTCTCGGAACTTTGGAGAATCCTTATACTTCTTGTCACGATGCTCATAATTGTAATGGTTTTTAAAGATAAATATATGTGGCAAAGTAAACAGGTAGAGCCATTGATATCATATTCAGATAACCCATATAAGAGTATTGCCAAAGGGTGAGTTCATGCAAGTTCTTTATGGCACTGATGCTATTTCATCAGAACTCTATTATAATGATAAAAGTTCCAATAATACATTTTTAATTTACATTAAATTATGCGGTGAATTATATAAAGAACAGCGAAGGTAATAAAGATTAATTGAAGGTAATTTTAAAATGGACGGAGAAGTGAGGTATCAATATAAATATTAAACGATGTTGAAAAGTTCAATATCGTTTATGTTGAACTCTTTAAAGTACTTGAACCAAGTTGGGAGAAAATACATAGTTATTTAGTTTATCAAGAAGTTAAACACAAATTTATTCTATTAACATTTGAATTTTGTCTTCTGCTCTACCAATAATTTGGCTAAAATTTGCGCAATATTTCATTAATTTTGTTTTAATATAGGATTACTTTCCATTAATGAGCAGCCATTCCTCATTCTGCACGAGTTCAAAATTGCATGTTATAAATGAAGTTTTTCCGAAACTGATAGATATATACGCATGAAGGTCATCAATTCGCATGCCTTAAACTGAATTTAATGTTCCACAATAAAAGTACCTTAGATGCTGCCTTTGCCATTAGTTTCTGAAATAATTATCATTGGCAGGGACGTATCATGGCTACGGAGATCCATCGACCTCTTCGACAGACTGGAGCTGGAGCCCGGCCAGACCAAGTGCCGCAAACTCGTCGATATTGGAGGAGCAATTTGTGACGGGTGATAAAGATGCGAGGTTTTGACTTGACTAAATTAAATGGATTACATTCTATGTACTATTATAGAGATTAAGCCATCTGAAAATAGATTCGTGAAAATAGATAATTTTTCGCAATTTGAGTTAAATTTTCGAGTCATTATACTTTAGATTTATGGACGTAAATTCTACTGTCTGTTATGTTATGAATACGCAAGCGTCCCAAACAATTTAAATTGTTATCTGAAGTTAAATACTTATTTGAAATAATTTCACATTTCAATAAAATAATTTTGTTTCTAAATATAACGGATAAAAATTGTCATAGCCGGCAATCATAAAAAGGCATATATGGACTAAAGGCATTTATTCGTGAATACATAACTATCTATCAACGCAATTGCTCAACTGCTTTCGAGGTGGTTTATCTCCAGTAAAATTATAAGGCACTCATCAGGGCTGACTGCATCTATACGAAAAGACAGAAATGTCAGTAGACTTTATAGGATAAAGTTGTTGAAATCAATGTTCCGTGAATTTTCGGCTTTCCCGTGATTACACTGATCACTCTGAGTCGTATTTTATCTTATAAATTTCACACTCAGACTTCGTTGAGTGATCGATTTGTTAGTAGCTGTTTTTTCTTGCATTTGGATTCGTGGTTTGCATGAGTACAATGGATCCGCAGATTAAACGCAGTCGAGATTTCATTGCCGTTTTTATGGGGATTGCATGTGCGAAGCAACATAAACAAACTATAGTTTTCAAATTTTAGTTGAACTTATACACAAGTTCCACAGTATTTTCAATAAAATTGCTTTTGAATGTGAATGCAATCATACGTAGAATTTAACTTGAATAAAAAATGTCTGTTAAGAACTTGAATAAAAATGTCAAAATAAGTCAGTTCTTGGTAGGACTGATAACAATAACAACTGATAACAATTCTGTTGTATAGAACTTTGACTTCTGCTGTAGCAGGATTCCAATTCCGAGATTCGTTGTAATTACGATTGTAAGCAATTAGGAAAATAGAGGGTTCCTGCAATTCCGTTAATTCAAAGCTGATGGAACGGAATAATAATCATTTCTGGATATCACTAAACCCTCCACTACTTTTAAGTCTTCGAGTAACTTATAAAAAACTAAAAGCGATCTTATGCTATGAACATGATGGAAGAAATCTTTTTCAGAAAGCCCTTTGGGATGAAATATCTATGCTTAGATGCAGACGTGGCTATTGATAACAAGAACTGCGTTGCTCACTCCTACGGCGTTAACGGTGACATCAGCTTCGACAAGAAGGTTGGTAGCAATGATACAAAAGCGACCAGGCGCCATACTTTCAAAAATCGCTAAGTGAACGCAAGTACTTACGCTCTATTTTCTTGTCTATGATTGGTGGATATCGCTTGAAAGGCCGTCAATGATTGGCTGATGAACCTACGATCTCTTAACTTTTTTTGAAAGTATAGGCCCAGCAATACAAAGTGTTGGGGCATCAGAGCAACCCTGCTTATCACGGTATGTGAGTCTCTGTCGCATCATCACCAAGAGATGAGTACAGCGCTCGTAAGTTATCAATTTTCTACCCTGCCCATAGATCTCTCGGCTTAAAATACATACGTGGGTAATGAAATGAATTGGACAGCGTATTTTGTGATGAACACCGAATAAGAAATTTCAGTTAAAAAGACTATCAATGATCTCAAATTGGTTGCTTCGTTCTCCTTATTATTTTTACTTGAATTTCCAGATCCCTATTATTTTACTTGAATTTTTCCCTATTACTTTTACTTGAATCTCCCTATTATTTTACTTAAATTTCCAGATCGCAAACTATGGGTGTCAAGTGTTCATGATGGATCCAACGTTGCCTGAGGGTTCGTATGACTGGGTCGACGGTCGACTCACTTTCTTGCCATTCGGACTTGGCGACAAAAATATGGTGAGCTACAATACAAGTTTTGCTGAACATTTTGTCCTACAAGGTATTGATTGTGCTAACAAAATGAAGCTTCAAGGGAAAGTTTCTTTAATTATTTTACTCCTCAAGGTCTAGAAATGTTTCTTCATTTTCAAATTGAAGTAATTAAATATTAACTTCATAAACTTACCTATCATATAAACTAAACGGTTGTAAATGTATTTGCATATACAAAAAAAAATGTCAAAATGTCCCCGATTTGTTCGACTGGGATTTGTTTGTGGATAAATTTTCATGGCAGAATAAACGCTTGTAAAAATTACCGTTAAATTTCTCACACTTCTCTAATTTTATTTGGTTCCATCAATATTTTATTTACAGATCTAGACGGCAGCCTTAGCCAGATTTTAAGCTGAAAATTTTACCCGCAATGCATGCCAAACATGAAATTCAAATTCTTGTTAAATTGGAAGTAACTGGCGGAGTTTTTTGGACCCAAAAAAGGTGGCTGGGAGAACAATTCCACATAATCTGTGTGTAAATATTTCTAACCTGCGATTATAAAAAAATTATATATTCTATCCTCAGATGTTGGTGGATCCTAAAAATGGGAGGAGTCTTCCTTTCGTTGTTTTCGACGAATTTCCAATAATTACAGGATACTTTGGCCCAATCCACTACCTAAAGGTGACTGGGACTTTGCTCAGCCAATATATTGTCCGGTGCAATCCTTCTGACACAATCATTAATAGGCGCTATCCTTGCGTGCCTGACCAAAATGTCGCGATACTGACCTACAAAGTATCTCGTCTCGTTGATATAATTTCGCTTTGAAACTCTAATGAGTTGCATTTCATTAGATGTGTTTGATCGGATGGAGTACGATACTAAGCGATAGAGTATTGTTTTCCAGTTGCTTGTCATGTCTAGTGATTACAGTAGCAGGGCATGGTGTCAAGCGTTGTAGTGTCGCAGGTATTGATCAGAGAATATTTCTTTACCGCACTCTACACAACGCCTAAAAATCTCAGTGCTTATTTTATGGACCCCGTGAATGTCAGAATTGTAATCGTCATCATATATATCATATCTACCACCAATATTTCCTCGCATGGCCGGATTTACTCTGATAAGCCTGCAACACTTGTAACGGAATTTCAGAATGTGTAAGGTAATAAATTACCTCTCTGAATGATACAAACTTCTAGTGATTCAGTTAACAGTCATATAATTTTCAAATAGTTTAGTCTTTGACGTTTTTCCTGAACATACATAAGACCATTTTTATCGGATTCAATGCAATAAACATGCGGCTTTAAAAAGGTCGAACAAAATGCTAAAGTTGGAGGCCTGTGCAAACAAAGGTGAATGATAATTTTGTACAAAAATCTTTTAATTTGTGCGGCTCATTCAGAATTAAAAAGAAATTGTGGACGCTGCAGATCGACATTGAGATGGAGGAATGGCGGTCTTTGGAATACATTCTTGACAACAACCTTCTTGTTGGCGTCAAGCAACTGATGGTGGAGTTCCACTTCTTCATACCAGAGTCTTCAGCGCACCGGGTTAGTAACAGTTACTTCAAGAGCCCATGAAATTAATGTTACAAAAATGCGAGCAATGAGAACTCGTATCATAAGTGTACATGTTGTATTTTGCCTGCCTCTCTTCGTATATGTATGAAGATATTTAAATAATTGGTTCTCACTTATCACCCGTTTTAATTGAAACTTTCATTTTCTCTTTGGATCAATTAGATCAGACCTTGTTCGATTATTCCGGCTCGTATCAAGTCCATTCTATTTTGTGACGCCAAATAGTCGTTGCAGAATTATGCGGAAAAAACTTTCATTCAAATTTCAGTTAGTTGGACATCCTGATGCCCGCTGCTCCGTTTGATCCCGTTATTCATTTACCTTCGTTTCTAAATCTGAAAGCGTAACCGTCCATCTACTGACGGCAAATTTCTTAATCAGACCATTAAAGCCAAATAGAGTTTACGGTGTTGAATGCATTTCTATTAATCATCACGTTAGTCATTCGTTATGCAAATGCAGCTGCAAATAGAGCAGCAACGAAATATAAAATATGAAACAATTCACCGGCGATGTCATGTTTGCGTATTGACCAGTAAATAAAAACATTACAAGCCGTTAAAAGTACATACATGAGCATTCATTCGTACTTGACCCTGATTTTGTGATTTCGAATCCAAACTATTTTGAAGAATGGAACGAATATTTTATTATATACTATAATTACGTTATAGCATCCATTATTGACGCAAATTTGTTGTATTAGGTAATTAATTTGGAGATAGTCAAGCATACGTTACGAAAAAGCATAAAATTGTAGTGGTATCCATTAATTTGATGAACGATTTGGAGATAAACTTTGTACTATGCGTTTGGATGTCAGGTACTTGCGAATACAAATGGTTCCTAAAAACATGATGCATGTTACCATTACAAAATCATGTTTTCAGGCTAGTTAGATGTTTATTTCAGAAATATATTATTTGCCAGTCTTGTACAATAATACAAGACTGGAAATAAAATATTTCTGAAAATAAACATCTAAATTTACAAATTCACTGACCAGGCCGTTGACTTCTACAAGGAGAGGTGGCTATTTCTGGAGCGCTTTGAAGACCATGGCTTCCTCCGCGTTCGCTATGACGTCACGTACAGCGGAGCGGCGTACCTCAAGATGCCCGACACCAATGACACCGCATTTATATGCGGCGAACTCTTCTTAATAAGGAGAAGTAGATCTAAGCAATGAGAAGTAAATTTACGGAATTTGAATATCCACGAAATTTATTGTATGTCAGCAAAACCGGAACTGGCTCAGCTGATCGTCAGGACTTTTAGGTTTCATATTATATTGTAGTTTAAATTTTGGCTGCATCCACTGGATTTAAGAACAATCTTAAAAAGCGTATCCGTCAAGCAGCTTCAGGCAATACAGGTGCAACGAAAGCAACAAATTGTTACTGTTCAGCTAATAATTATCATGTTTAGTAGTAAGTAAGTTATTTTTGTTGTAATGATAAAATAAGTTATGAGTTTATATAGTGTGGACGTGGACATTTAGGATTCAGAGGATGTTAGCACGCAATCTATGATTATGGGAAGCCGAACTAGATTATCGACATAGCTTAACTCGATAAGCATGGCACATATTCCATCCTGAAGCCAGCATGTCCCAGTCCTGTGTTAGGTATTCAACAGGTTGAAAGAGCCGAAGATCACTGATCGCTTGCAAGACTTCGAAATCCCTGCCTCTTGTGAAGAAAAATCTCTAACTGGCGGGTTGCTTCAAGGTTTTCATCCTACCATGTGTAGGAAGACATTAAATTGAATATCATATCAAGATGTAGGCTTTACGGCTTTTTGCTAACCCTGCCATTCTTGCATAACTGATATATCATCACGCTTGATTTACAGAAATTACGTTAGTTATGTTCACTTAATTTAGATGCTATGACGAGTGAGAGATCGGCATTGCGTCCGGTCACAACTGTGTAACAGACATAAATGCATGGAAAGGAAGATACACATGTGCCTGAAGACTGCTACAGCTCTGCAGGAAGACATGTCAGTGGAGGAATAAGTTATTTCCTCGATGACAGTAGCCATAGATGAAGACATAATGTTTTTAGGTAGTTTTGTACAGCGGGAGAAGTGCATGGATAGTAAGGGTTAGATTGATTAAAAATTTAAGATTTTGTGATAATTAAAAGAATATTTAGATAACACATTACAACTAATTATAGAATAGAATTCATCGGCACTGAAGAAATAGGCCCATGGCCTGTTGCTGATTCTTGCGCTTTTCGTGACTTGATTCACAAGGGATCCGGCCTTCTGAACCCGATCATTCCATAACTGACGATTGTTTGAAATTGCTGCTGGACTTATTGCGTCCGTAATTTGCTAGGCATTTCAAGACTGAACATATGCTCCTGCATAGCTTCGTTTAGTCTGTTCTTGAAGGCGTTCATACTCGGAGCGTCAACGATGCTATCAGGGAGGCTGTTCCACATGTCGGTGACTCGAAGCGAGAAGAAATGTCGCATGGATGTGTTACAACGCCATTTTTTTTAATTTATAGCCGTGGCCTCTGGTGTTGGTTCTTGTTTCAAATTCTAGTAATCATTCAGGGACCTTGTCTAAACCGTGGATATTATACAGGGCCGTTACGCTGTTGAGGCGACATTGTTAACACTCAAACAACGTATATAGGGTGGGGACCTTGATAGCATGGGCCACTATATACATACTGTATGTATGCTCGCACGTATTCTACGGACTATTTACAATGAATATACTGTATCAGTAATGACGCCAGCTAGTTATGTGAGCTATGCCCAGTCGTAAGTGAAAGTAGATGACTTGATGTAGGAATAGTTTTTTGGAATCGAATTCTAAGCAAACTTTAACTGTCAGCGGAAATTCACTGGGTTGAGCCAAGTGTCAGCCACAGATTCAAGGAGTAGAGAATAGGTTTTGGTCTAATTTTGTTGATTCTCTTCTGAGTATCCATACTTCTCAATTTTGTATTGTAATATGAAGCAACATATTCTTATTAAATGTCTCAAATTTTTCGAAAATATCATAACGAAAGAAATTTCCGTGTTGCCATCATGCAAGATAGAATTGTATAGTATATTCTTTGTATTTCATGAGAACGACGAAAGGCATTTGAATACGCTTCATTGCAATGATTTTTCATAATTACTATAGTTAATACTATGTTGTAAGGCACGATGAAATTTTTTGGAACCCAATTTCAAACTGAGACGAACTTAAAAACAAGGATTAAATTTTGTGTTGTGATTCCATGGGACGTAAAACTTGCAAAATGAATCATCATTCGGGAGTATTTTCATTAGGTGGAGTCCAAGCTCAAAGATAACTGGGATGAGTTTGATCACTAGAAATCATAATTGATTCAAATTAAGTTATGATTACTAGTGTAGATAGTTACGGTACTGATTGAATTCCCGTTAATCGTTACGTTAGTCATTCGTCATGCAAATGCAGCTGCAAATAGAGTAGAAAATAAATTTAAAACTTGAAACTGAAGATGCCATATTTTCGTACTGACCAGTAAATAACGACAATACAAACTGAAATATTGCTCATCATAAATATTTTTCCTCCATTTTCCATGGTAAACTATACAATAGCGAAAAAAACGATCTGGCAACCAAAGAGAGCCTCGTTTATATCTGAGGTATATATCACACATCACCATGTACATATATCAAGATGGTAACAGTATTATTAAAAGGTTCGTCACTCACTTTGCTCAATGATTGTCTCTACTGTTGAACACCAATTTTCTCCGTGGTATCATTATTCCGGATAATGACTTGGTTTGTTACAGGTTGGAAAAACAGGTTGTTTAGCCACGTACACAAGCGTCGCAAGTGTATAATAATAATAGTAATAATAATAATGATAATAATAATAAAAATAATAATAATAATATAATAAGTAACTCTTCGAAAGCAGCATTGTTAACGGAATGCTCACTCACTTTGCTCAATGATTGTCTCTACTGTTGAACACTAATTTTCTCCGTGGTATCATTATTCCGGATAATGACTTGGTTTGTTACAGGTTGGCAAAACAGGTTGTTTAGCCACGTACACAAGCGTCGCAAGTGAGTGAGCGCTCACTCAAGCATCGCAAGCAATCATCAGATCTGAGAATTTTAGGGATTAAGTTTTTCTGTTCTCACATTGAGGAAAGCTCCGGCTAAAATGTTTTTGTGTTGCTTTGTTAAATGGTTAAATGAATAGTTAAATGGGATTTTTTACATTGTTCATAAAAGAGCTTCAGAAACAAGCGATAAAATATCAGGAGAACATTTCGCCTCTCGAAATAATATTATTGTTAATCGGCTCATACATGTGCCGAAAGAGGAGTTTTTTTCATTTATAACTTGCGAAAACTTTTGCACAATTTGGACCATTAAATGGTCGAAAGGTTGGAGGAAGATAGTGGCCATATATAGTTGCTATCAATAGCACCAGATTCCGGCGAGTGCTTCAGTCTATTGCCGCTGTTATAATTTCATTCACTATTTTGAGCCTAATAGCAAACAATGACGGACTTAAAAACAAGGAGGAAATTACATGCATCATCATTCAAGCATATTTTCAGAAGGATGAATACAGGCTTAAAGAAAACTACATGAAATTTGGTCACTAATAATAAAAATAGCTGATTATACATTACTCAACTGACTTCCTTTACAAACATTTTATAGACATATTTCACTTTATTTTCCCATTTAAATTATACAATCGAGGAAAAATTGAAGTATCAACCAAAGAGAAAATCTCTTATATGTGAGGAAAATTTCTTCACACGACACCATGCATATCAAGATAAAAAAACAGACCTTGACTCTTCTGTTCCCAAATTATTTCAACCAATCTCCAACCTGTCGATTTTGTCGAACTCCTGGCACGCGTTAATTGTGGCCCAACAGCTGAACAACCATCTTCAGCAGTCCTGTCTCAGGCCTCGCCGCCAGTCTGCATGCATACCTTTATCTCCACTCGACTGAAATTGCTGTTCTGAAGATGCTTTCAGACATTCTGCGACAGTTGACCGCGGCAACTTGGCACTGGCTTTACTCGACCTGTCGGCCGCGTTTGACACGGTCGACCACGCCACTTTGTGGAGTCGATTTGACGTATCATTCGGCCTCCGCGGTACAGTGCTGAGGTGGTTCGAGTCCTATCTCAGCAATATATTTCAATGCGTTCGAACTCTTCTTCTATGCCATTGTTGGTCACTTGCGGCGTAGTGTTGATACAGTGCTAGCGGGTGGGACAAACCCGTTGTCCACTTAAGAGTTAAACAGTGGAAGCTATTAATCTTGTTTAAACTTTAAATGAAAGAATTTTCTATTTGAATGCCAGTGGCTGCTAGTTACTAAATGGCGGAACTGAATTGGACGCGACTGTCGTTAGTTGTGCAAATAAATCACTCTGAACTAAAATGGAAATAATCAAATTGAGTTAAACGTTACTGAAAAATAATGAGTTAAAACACAGACTGGTTGAGTGATAAAAGGTCAGATGCCTTCCGGCAACAGTGTGGCGTATTGCACATAATTGATTCACTTTGTTTTCATTCGCATGTGTTCGTTGACGACACCCAAATTTGTGGCTACTGTGCAACTGCTGACGTTGCAGCGTTGCAGGACCTAATGTCTGTCTGCATGGATGCTGTCTCAGACTGGATGCGCTCCAACCAGTTCCAGCTCAATGCTGGAGCAATGCTCAACTTCAATTTGGTTTGCGACTGCTTGGACGCCAACTGACCTCGTGACGTCCAAATTGTGCGATCTTCACTATGGCTGCGCATGCAGCAGTGCACGCAGTTCAAAGGCCACCTTTTGGACGTTCCGATGCCTTCACGGTCTGGCGCCTTCTTGTCTGACGGAATGTCTGCAGCACGCGTCTGATCTGCCTTCTAAAAGACGACTACGTTGTTTATCAACAGTGGACCTCATCGTTCCACTTGCACGTTTGTCTACCATCGACGACAGAGGGTTCGCGGTTGCCGCCGCCAGAACCCGGAACAGTCTGCCGGCTTCCGTAACATCGGCTCCTTCGTTGCAGGTGTTTCGTCGAAGCCTATACAGGCGGAACTTTTTCCGTAGAGCCCATGAATCAAGTGCTTAGACATTTTTATCCGTTGTTATCCTTTCTCGTGTCTAGTTATTTTTCGCTTGTTATCAAACTTGTGTTCAGCGTGCCCTCGAAGTTCGTTTGAACAAGATGCCACAATAAATGTATCGTAGAATAATAATAATAATAATAGTAATAATAATAATGATAATAATAATAAAAATAATAATAATAATATAATAAGTAACTCTTCGAAAGCAGCATTGTTAACGGAAGGCTCACTCACTTTGCTCAATGATCCTTCCAACTGCAGAACAATAAATTACTACGTGGAAATATTATTTGTGATGATGATTTGCAGGTTATTTGGCCACGCAGCGCGTACAGGCCACGTTGAGCCCTCTGTGAATTTGAAGATTCATTTTTTATATCAAATTGAGGAGAGCTTCGTCTGAAATTGTTATTTCTTATTTTTTATTTAATTATAAAAAACACTTGGTTACCAAAAATCAGTGAAGTAATACACTTGCTTTTAACTATTTTGGATTGTAAATGAGAACAATGTTCGTATACATTTTTGTTCTTTTTTAATTACTCTAGCAAGTTTTCAAAATTACTGTCATTGATTCTGAGTGAGCTGAAAATTATGCGGTACATTAAGTTCGATCATTTTTTATATGATACCTATTCAGGATCATATCCCCACCATCTCTTTAAGGAAGTAGAGCAAAAAATTATTCGAAGAACAATACGAGGATCTAATTTTCCTTGTTTGCTGTAGTCTTTTCCCTACAAGGTACTGAACTGCAGGGTAGTTGTCTCTGATTCTTTGTGGCGAAATGTTTAACAACCTCATAATACTGCTAGTTGCCAATCGATCTTGTTAAGCAAATTGACAAAATTCATTGGAATTGTCATCTATCTTTCAGTACTGAAAGTGATTCTTGTTTCTGATTAAATTATAATAAATATAGGCAATAAATGGCAATGGAGTGAAGAACGAAATTCATAAGTAAATTGTTGGTATTAGGCCAAGATTTGGATAGACATTTTAATTGATATTTTCGCGTGTAAATTCATTTTTCACCTAACAGCTTGTGCACCTAATATTTTCTTTTAAATATTGAAAATAGATATGCCAGATGATACCCTTTTTAGATGACGTATTTCGGAAATTAACGAAATTTTTTGAATGATCGATTTGAGTTAACCGACTGAATAATGGATTTGAATGATGTCAAACAAATTGAAAAAACTCAATCTTACGTTAAGAGAACACCGAAGAAAATATTTCCAAAGAATTACAATCAACAAGCTATATATCCATATTATTTACTATTCATGGCATACATTAATTAGGCCGTTTTCTTACAGAAAATTGTTATCGTTTTTCATTGGGATGAAATTCATTCCGTTCTCGGAACTTTTTAGAATCCTTATACTTCTTGTCATGATGCTCATAATTGTAATGGTTTTTAGAGATAAATTTACGTGGCAAACTGAACAGTTAGAACCATTGATATCATATTCAGATAACCCATATGAGAGTATTGCCAAAGGGTGAGTTCAAGCAAGTACATTATGAACCGGATGCTAATTCATCAGAAGTCTATTGTAATGGTGGAGATTCTGATGATAAATATTTTATTTACATTAAATAATGCCATGAATAATATTAAGAACAGCGAAGGTCGTAAGGATTAAATGAAGATAATTTTAAAACGGACGGAGAAGTAAAGATTGGCGCCATATCGTTTATACTGAACTCTTCAAAATTTTTGAACTAAGTATGGATAAAATGGTCTTTTTAGTTTCTCAATAAATAAAATACAAATTTGTCCTATTTATAATTAATTTTTGTCTTCTGCTTTACCTATGAATTCGCTAATATTTGAGTCATATTGCATTTATTTGGTATTAATATAGGATTACTTTTCCTATTAAGCCGCCATTTCTCATTCTGAAGTCAAAAATGCGCGTTATAAACGAAGTTTTTTCCATTAATGATGGATATGAATTAAAAATTGCTTTTTATAAATGAATTTTTGTCAATATTGATGGATAATAATTAAAAATTGCGTGTTATAAATGAAGTTTTTCCAATAATGATTGATATGAATTAAAAATTGCGTGTTATAAATGAAGTTTTTCCGAAAATTATTCATATATACGCATGAATGTCATAAATTTGCGTGCTTTAAAATGAAAAATTAAATGTTTTAAAATAGAAACATCTTAGATGCTACCATTGGTTTCTGAAATAGTTATCATCGGCAGGGACGTATCATGGCTACGGAGATCCATCGACCTCTTCGACAGACTGGAGCTGGAGCCCGGCCAGACCAAGTGCCGAAAACTCGTCGAAGTCGGCGGGAAATCTTGTAACGGGTGAGTGCATACAGTCTAAGGCTCATGAATTAATTTCAGTATAGTAATTATGATTGGAAGTTATCCAGAATTTATTACTGCTAATTAAAAATTAGCTTTTTGAATGTCTCACAAGATGAATATTTCAAAAGCAAGTAACATGATTTGTCACTATTATATAAAGTAGCAAGAAAATCGTCCTTATCCATGACCACCCAAATAAAAATTAAGAGCGGAGCACCTATTTTTTTATGATGGCTATCGGCGGACGCCATAGGTGGAGCAACTATGATTTATACAGTGAATTGAATTAAGGGTGGCGTGCTTCACCTATCCCACACCTATAACCTGCCGATGGCCTCCCTACCCCTTAGAGCTCTTCTTCCGTTAATAACTACGCATTGACACCGGTGGCGCATCAATGAGACACCGATGGCCACCCTTAAAATGAAGTCAATAAAAAAATTCCTTTAGTTTCAAATCCGATGCTACTGCATTTACTGATATTGCTTCACACAATCACCATGCAATGGCTACTTATGCAGATCTACCGTGGCAGTACAAGTAACAATGCCAGACATGTAGCAGGAACAAATTATCAGAGTACCATACACATACCTCATGAGAAATCGCCTTGATGAAAGTCCCTGCCTGCAGGATTCGATCTCCCCCATGCGAAGCCGAGCCTCTACGGTTGAGCCATCGGAGAGGACATGGCAGTCCTGTAATTTTTAAAGATTCAATTGAAGTATTACAAATATTAGTTTCATCAAATGAGAGAAGTTAATGCTACCACCGTGATGATTTGATGGTCCCATCAACAATTTTTGGAACATGCTGCTATATTCGAGTAAACAGCCGCGAAATAAACTTCATTTATCCATTACGAACGATGGTTCAGCTCAGAGTAAAGGCAACGAGAAATAGAATAGAATAGAAGTGTCGGCACTGAAGAAATATGCCCATGGCCTATTTCTTCTGTGCCGATATATTACATGTGCCGATATACATGGCTTATCGATATATTTTCACCAAGAATATTCTTACGTGAAATGAGGGATTCATATCACTCGATTGACAGGCGCGAAATGCCTGCACCACTTCTAGTCACGATTTTTCTGCAGCATAATCTCTAGCCTTTTGCGTAGAAAAGATACCGGGGCCACTTTATTAGAAATTCAGAATAACCGAATTTTTACTCGTATCCTCTGCGTAAAAAGGATACTTTTGTGACAAGCAAATTACCCGGAAAGCACATGTTTCAAGCAGGACAAGGTAAAAGATTAGTAGGAAGCTCAACGCCGACGCACGGCAACCCAACCGGTATGAAGGCATGCTTATTGACTCGGTCGCTGCTTAGCCACTGTGCTTTACAAAGTAGCCGAGCCGCTGTCAAAGTGGCTTTTGAGTTTAGATAAATGGGGCTACATGAGAATATTGTAAATATTAAGGAACACTTAATCAATCCTTAAAATAATTTATACTTAATGATACAATAATTAGTCTCAATTGATCGAACTATTTCCAACACAGCCAGCTGGCTCATACGCGAATTTCATAATGAATTTAAGCAATATTCCAGGTGAACAAGAAAAATTATATTAGCGGTCATCTATGGAGAAACTGTATTTATTGCAACAAAATTTTCCATTGATCCTCAGATAATTTATATCAGGATCGAACAGTCTGATACATGGCCAGTGGCTTCATTTTGGCTTGAAAAATTTGTGAACACCTTGCTTCTATGTCAGTTTTATTCTGTACCTACCGAATTCACGCTAAATTTTCTTAACATAACTTAATCTTAAAAGCCAAGCACACAGAACGAAGCCATGGTTTCGTTTTGATCTCGAATGACCCGTAAACCAATAAAACCTTTCTACGTTGGATAAATTGCAGTGGCAAATTCCTTCGTGCACTTTGTAGGCAAACGGTTTTCAATGGCTTAAAAGAGATTTGCCTGCAATGCGCTATCGATTATTTAGACCCTACAAATCATCGATGATTCATCGATGACTGCCACATATACTCGCCACCCTCTCAATTTATTGATGTTTTATTGTCGATTTTTGGCAGATTTGGCCACCCACCGTTACGCCACCTATAAACTACTACCGCCACCTATAATCATCGGTGCGCCACCCTTAATTTTTTTTTTGGGCATTTTCCCCGATATGAACGACAGTTTACTATTTTTTCAGAAGCGGCCAATAAACAATTGTCTTGAGTTAACAAGACTTGTGTGGTTGCCATTTACAATCACAACAAAATTTTTTGTTTTCTATTCATAACCCAAATAAAAATTAAGGGTGGCGCATCGATGATTATCGGTGGCGATGGTAGACTATAGGTGGTGTAACGGTGGGTGGAATCATCTGCCAACAATCGACACTAAAATACCAATAAATCGAGAGTGCATAGGTGGCAGTCATCGATGCTTTATAGGACCCGAATCATCTGTAACGCAGTGCAGGCAAATCTCTTGTAAGCAACCGCTACCCGTTTGCACAAACTGCACGGTGCACGAAGGAATCTGTCATTGTAATTTATTCAGCGTAGACAGGAGTTATCAGGTTGCGGTTCATTCGAGATCAAGACGAAACCATGACTTCGGTCTGTGTGCTTGGCTTGTAAGTTTTTTATGCAAGTACATTTAGCGTAAATTTGCTAGGTACGAGTAAAACTGACAGACAGAAGCAAGGTGTTTCACAAATTTTTCAAGCCAAAGTCAAGCCAATCGGCATTTATCAGACTGCTCCTGATACAAATTGTCCTAGGAACAATGTNGATTGATCACAAAAACTGTAACGGTATAATTAAGCATTATAATAGACAGGTTGTGAAGTGGAACGAATCGCCCCAATTTTCGTATACTTAACTCGATAACAGTATAATCGAAGTGGAGTCGACGAGCCATGCGATGGGTGTGGAAGGTCGCAAGTCTTGGAGAAACTCTTCCCACAAGACAACTCACTCACTTATAGTAGTCCTGATCTCTGGCTGTTGTAGAAAGTTCGTTATTGAGAAATATAGAGCGAGTTTTGGTCTGTCTCTTATACACATCTAGATGTGTATAAGAGACAGGTTCAAATCTATTCAGTAGTTTTGGAAGAAATTTCTTGATTGCTGCGAATTTAAGCACGTATTGCTGTTTAAATCACGAATGAAGGTGAAATGATAAAAAAAACTTGCGAACAAAGGCACAATCGAATAAATTTTCACGAACTAAACATAACCGTTCGGTAGTTAGGACTGTAAATTCAAAATTTCGTTCGAATCTGTTCAATAGTTGGGAAGAAATTCCTTGATCACCGTGAATTTCGGCCCGTAATGCCATATACAGTAACTACGGCAAAAAAAAAATGAAGGCAAAATTAAAAAACACGAGCTAAACAATACCGTTATGTCCTAGTGAATACGTGTTCCAAGTTTCATCGAGTTTGAGTTCATTAGTTTGAGAGATGTTCTTTGATCATAGAATTTGGAAATTGGCCGTGAGACCGGCCGCGAGTCCGACCGTTAATTTGTCCGAGACGTAAATCCAGGAGAGGTTAAAAAAACAGATCTGGGTGAAAAAAACATCGCTGGGAGTCATGATGTGCTGCACGTGTTGTGTACAAATCGTTGGAGAAACGTTGGAACTTCTGACTTTGACTTTGGACTGCCGCCCCCCCTATCGCCCCCCAAACGCCCTCTTCTTCCTTACCGCCCCCAAAAATCTTTCCACCGCCCTTAGGGGGGCGATATCGCCCACTTTGAGAACCACTGATCTAAACTCTGAAGCCCCGAAGACATAGTCGACAGCGGCTTGGCATCTCTAAAGGCGCAGCAAGCAGGGCCAGTAAGTTCAAGTTCACACCTGGGCGCGTCGGCGTTTAGCTTCTCTCCTAGTAATCTCTAACACGTCTTGCTTGAAATATGTGTTTTACGAGTAATTTGCTTGTCAAAAAAGTGCCTTCTTTACGCAAAGGGATATGCGTAAAAATTCGGTTTTCCATCGCTGATTTTGATGGTAAAATTAATATAATTTAGTGGAAATTTGATTATACTGTCGGATAATTAATAAGAGTTTAATTCTCCGCTTCAAATAAAGTGGTCTCGGTATCTTTCCTATTCATTATAATATATATTATTCAAAATATTAAAGATAAGGCTAGAGAAAAATAGTGACACGAATTGATGAAGGTATTTCACGCCAAACATTTCAAAATCATCGCGTGATGTCAATTCCTAATTTCTCGCAATAATATTCATGGTGCAAACATTTCGAATCGAACCTCTGTCAAAATTGGTGTAATGTTCACATTATAAAACTTCGATACTTATCAAGCATTTTCCCGTAGCCTTTAATTTTCGTTATGGCTAGATTAAATTTATTTCAGCGGCTGCTTACTCAAAAAGGGCAACATGGGGCAGCGCGCCCTCGCCTTTTTTTAAACTAAATTTTTGATGAAGTTTTTTTTATACGAGGTGGTTCTTTGTTCATTATAAAACTTCGATACTTATCAAGCATTTTCTCATTGGTGTTGACTGAAATCAACTTTTGGCAAGGCAAGAGTCAATAACTCGATAAGGGGTCATAAATACGCATAACTAGAAACTAAACCTGCTGCCTTGAGGCGGCAAATAAAAAAAAATCATGCAATATGAAGTGTAATTTGTAATTAAAAAAGCTAGTCATTGTTTTGAAAAGGTCATTGAGACAAATCTAATGACGTATAACACAAGACTTCACCATGGGCGCTTTGCCCCCTGATACGCGTGGGCCCGTTGCCCCACTAGGTATCATTTCAATTTTTATCGAGTCAACATTTTATTTTAAAAGCTAATTGTCTAAACTTGATCTCAAAATTATCCCTATAAATATTATTTTCAAAATATAATTCACAGTAATTTCAAAAGCTTCATCTACAGTAATCGAAAACAGTTTTATTTAGCAGCAAAAAATTTTTATCTGAGCTAAAACAGTTATTCACAAATAACTTAATAACGCAAAGACTTAGCAAAACGTAAATCCGTACACTTCATCCCAGTGAAACTGTCGACCGGCGGGAGAGAACACGGACCAATATCTGCCATACTTAGCGAGAAACCCGCTATGGGCAAATGACCCGCAGTGGGCTCGCTGCCCCATGTTACCCTATAGCAGCATGTACAAATAAAATGGTTAATGGAAACATCTAATCATCACGGTGGTAGCACTAAATTCTGCCATTTGATGAAATTAATACTTGCAATACTGCAATTAAATATTTTAAAATTATACCACTGCAAAGACTTTTCCGATTGCTCAACGGTAGAGGCTTGGCGTCGCTCAAGTGAGATAGGAGTTCGCATCCTGCAGGCAAAAATTTTTCTTCAAGTCGGTTTCTCACGAGGCATGTGTAGGGTACTCCTATAATTTGTTCCTGCTACATGTCTGGCATTGGTAATTGCACTGCCAATGTAGATTTACATATGTAATCCTCAGAATGTGTGATCGCATGAAGCAATATCAGTAAATGCATGGGATATGAAACTAAAGGTAAACTTCTATCGATTTGATTTTAAAGGTGGCCATCTTTGGCTCGTCGATGCACCACCAGTACCAATGGGGAGTTATTGGTGGATGAAGAGTTTTTCGGGTTTGCTGGCCATCGGCAGGCTTTAGTTGGAACATAGGCCGGACACGCCATCGATGCCTCATCGATGCGCCATCGGTGCTCCACCTATAACTTCCACCGGCCAATAATCTTCGATGCTCCACCAATAATTTTTACTTGGAAAATAGTCGGAATTAATCTTGACGGAACAAAGCTTTTCTTGGAAACAATCTTGGTTTAAAAATATCAGTCCACGTGAACTAATAACGAATGGAAATGCAATCGAGCAGTGGCAATCTGGTGGAGACATGAACCACCAACATGAATCTGAGTGCTGTTTTTGGTGCGCATAAACCGGAAATAAAACAAAAAGAGAAAGATCCCTTTCATCTTCTAATTTTGTACCGTTTGTGTGGCTGACGATGCACAGATCGTGATTCCAAAACAAATATTATATCTTTACAAGATAAACCACTTCTTCCTTGAATCACTGTCAACAATAATCTTCGAGAATAAGCTGGTTTCACGGATGAATTTTCGTTTTTCCTGCATGAATGACGTCTTGAATTTAAAATTCAATTTGTAATATTTTCTCTACAGAAATATGAAATATTTTTATATCAGAAATTTTTTTATTGGAATTCCATGTTGAAATTTTGACTACCTCTCTAACGCTTCGAAGCATCCACTTAATTCATTATTTTGGCCTTCCATAACGCAGATATTTCATCATCAGTTGATCTAACCTTTGAACCGGCATTAAAAAATTACACATCACGTTGGTTCAGAGATATAAAAAGTCATACCCTTGTTGCTATTAAACATAAACGTACCAGCGGAATGTATATATGAGAGCGATGAAGATGAATTTGGAAAAATATGACAAAATCTCTTTTCTAGTGGAGAAGACGGGATGAAACTGCTGTGCCTGGACGCTGACGTGGCGCTCGATAACAAGCGTTGTGTCGTATACTCTTTTGGTATCCAGAACGACATTAGCTTCGACAAGCAAGTAAACTGGGGTTAAAACTTGAATGGTGTATATACGAAAATCAGGCTGAATCTTAAAAAGTACGATAATTTTCGGAGGTCATATCATATGTGGGTAGTTTATTTATATTTATACTTTTTTATGTGTCGTAATTTATTTATATGGATGTAATAAATATAATTTAAATATAATATACGCATTGGCAAAATCTTTAAGCTTGACATTAATTATCAATTTCCTTATAAAAAATTGGAAGCTGTACTTCCGATAAACGTTAATCGGTGTAACCTGGAATATTTTCCCTCGATCGTATACGTTCAATTAAATTGAAACAACTGACAATTGTTTCCAATTTGAACAATTGATTGACAATTGTTTTTAATTTCAATCACATTGACAATTAATTGGCACTTTGTGGTAAACGAAACTCTGATGTCGTGTGCATACGACATTCACAAGCAGGAAACCTTCAAAACGCCAATACAAGAGAACGCCTAAATAAATTGCAATTAAATCATGATATTGCCGTGGAAATAAATTTATTGCTTTCACAAAGAATGACTTTTCATTTTCAGAATTTAAAGAAACTAAAGAAATGGCACAGTAGTGTTTGTGTGAATTTAGATTGAATATTGGATGGTAATGAATAACAATATAACAGTATGAGAAAATGATTATCAGTGATCCAAAATGGAAGCAATTATTGATCATTTCTGTGTTTTTTCAATGGAACTTTGCAGATCGCAAAGTATGGGTGTCGCGTGTTCATGATGGATCCAACGTTGCCTGAGGGTTCGTATGATTGGGTCGACGGTCGACTCACTTTCTTGCCAATCGGACTTGGCGACAAAAATGAGGTAAGCATTTCTGAACATACCTTATAATCAGGTATTGATTTTGCTACCATGATGAAGCGCTTGCCGGTAAGTTTTTCTAATTTAATACAAGATTCAAAATTTTACTATTACATGTCAAATTATAACACTTTGACCCAGTCCGCTACTTGAAGGTAAACACTTTGACCCAGTCCGCTACTTGAAGGTAAACACTTTGACCCAGTCCGCTACTTGAAGGTGACTAAAACAGTGATCAGAGATTCGTTGATAACCTTAATTGCCAGAAACTAGAATTCCTGAAGAAAATATGAACACGTCAGGACAATAATTTCACATTATTGACCTACCTATCTTCTGGTCTATATGGGAAATTTCTGTTTCGTTACGCTGAAACTCTTATATGGAGCTTTCTTCTTAATTTTCCGTGGTCACTGTATCAATCTGAAGGTTTCACCTATAATAGATACGTGCGAATTTATGAAATACGATGCTCTTTGTTAATATATTGTTATGTGTTACACTGCAATAGGTATCGAGCTAGAAATACTTCCTTTTTGGCACACAGCATTCTACCATATTGTTGACCTTTTTTTTACGCACCCTTCAACGTTATGATGGTTTTCTTATACTTACCATCATTACTTCGGCTTTACACCGATAGGTCTTCAGCACATATAACGTAAATTCAGACACTATTTATAGTAACTCAAGCATTCCCACTCTGCTAATCTATACCAACTTCTCTATTGCTTCAGTGAAATGTAGTCTGATGTAAAAATAATTCAGCCTTTATACTGTATGTTCTTCGTTAAACAACTTCGTTAACACAAGTTTGTTATTAGATTCCGAGAATTTAGAAAATGTGAGAACAAAATGCTCATACGATATATGCAAAAATGCAATACGAAAGTGAATGATAATTCGACAAAAATCTTATCATTTCTGGGGCCCACTTGTAATTTTTCCAAAACAATTTTGGGACTCTGAAGATCGACATTGAGATGGATGAATGGCGGTCTTTGGAATACATTCTTGACAACAACCTTCTTGTTGGCGTCCAGCAACTGATGGTGGAGTTCCACTTCTTCATACCAGATTCATCAGCGCATCGTGTGAGTAGAATTTACTTCGAGAACTTATAGGATTATTCTTATAAAAAATATAACTCAGTACTCACTGCAGTGAGTGACAGAGAGCGCATTTTCTCGTCGACGAAAACTTGAGGTCACGGACGGACAGACAGAAAGACGGACATGGCGAGCACAATAGTGAATTTATTCCATATATGAGAAAATGCGCTAAAAATGCGGAGAATGAGCTTTTACATGCCAGTATTTACGTTGAGATTGGACGCTTGAATAAAGAACATGAAATAAAATTAAGGTTGCACAAAGGATAGCACGACGCACGGGATAATCAAGTCCCAGTAATTAACTGTTCAGCATCAATTGTATTAATATAAGATTGTAATTTGCAACTTAGTGTTAACGTTCAGAAACTCATAGGGATATTTTTTTCCAGAATCGTACGTATACGAAGACAATTTAATTAATATTTCCTAATAATCTCCTATTTCAGTTTATCCTTCTATATACTTTAATTTTAGAACAGACCATTCCAATTAGTTCAATTAGTACATGCAGACCAATTCCGAGTATCGCGATTAGAGTTCGTCGTGGAGTCAATTTTTTCATGCGACCAAATAATCATTGCAGGTTCATCTGAGAAAAACTCATCGTCGAATTTCAATCACTTCGGCGTAATTGTCCCAAATGCACGTTTATGTGCCTCCAGATATATTATATTTCTACCTGAAACTTAGGACAGGGATTCGTGACTAAGTACACCAGGTGCCATACTTTCAAAACTCGCTAAGTGAACGTAAGTACTTACGCTCTATTTTCTTGTCTATGATTGGTGGATTTTGCTTGAAAGACCGTCAATGATTGGCTGATGAACTTACGATCTCTTAACTTTTTTTGAAAGAATAGGCACTGAGGGATAAGTAAGACAACATTTGTCTAGAAAACTTATATTGATATGGGATACATTGCAGAAATTCTATTCATATTGCATCACGTAACTCATAAAGATATTCAAGTGCAGCTGCACATGGTGTGGCAACCGTATTTAAAATTTGAGACTAATGACGATGCCATGCTTGCGTGTTTTCATTTGACCCAAGATTGAAATTAGCAGAAGTCTTTAAATGAAATTCAGCAGCCATTTGCACAAGACCCTGATTTATAGAATTTTGAATCCTGGTTTATTTTGCAAAATAGGATGAATCTTTTATTAGTTCCTCTAGATACGTTTTTTTTTTTGAGGCAAGATTGATGCATTTTGTAAATGATAAAAAGATCGTAAGCTCGCATATGTTATAATTGCGTATCAAATGCCGATATTATTAATCAATTCGATCTTGAAAATATAACGCAACAATTGCACAAGCGTGGTCTCTGGCTATTTCTAGGTTTATTTTACTTTATTTTTATTTTATTTATTTTGTTTTTATTTTTACTTTACTGGTACTTGCAAAAGCGTGGTCTCTGGCTATTTATAGGTTTATTTTTAGATATTTTTAACATATTGTTATATTGATTCATAAATTCATTGATCAGGTAGTTGAATTCTACAAGCAGAGATGGCTGTTTCTCGAGCGCTTAGAAGACCATGGCTTCCTCCGTGTTCGCTATGACGTCACGTACAGCGACCAGGCTCACGTCAGGATGCTAGACACCAATGACACCGCATACATCTGTGGCGAACTCTTCTTAATAAGGAGAAGTAAATCGCACCAATGATTAACAAATTTTCGTAATTAAGCAATTCGGAAAATGTAACTGTTACCAGAGATGAACACGCACTGGCCTGGATGGCAGATGCAAAGGTTAAAAAAAAGGTCGACAAGATTACCAAATTTTCGAAATTAAGTTATTCGGAAAATTTAACTGTTGCCAGAGATGAACACGTACTGGCCTGGATGGCAGATGTAAAGGTCGGAAGAAAAAGGTCGGCAAGATTTGCATCCGCACCACAAATTTTCAATACTAGAGTATTAGTGTCCGTGCTTGAACTATATATCTACAAATTCAGCCATGTTCGAGTCAATCTCCACAAGTTCCTCTTAAGAGTCCACCGCATCTTATAAATTTTAGGCTCCATGGCAATAAATACAATTATATGCATACATATATATGCCGATATGCGTGCTGTGAGTGCTTGGAGATCCGCTCGCAGTCCGTCTCAATATACACATCGATTATAATAGCGAACTTGATAACAAATACGGTATTATTTAAATGTGACTAGAATGCACGGATAAAGTCGTTCTTTTGCTGTGTGATACACTGAATTATTTGAGGGAGATAAGTGTAGCATTTGCAAGGGAATAATAGACGTAAAAAATTTGATATCGAAATAAAATACTGCCTTAGAACTTAGAGTACAACACATACAATTCCACATTAAATTAGGCCAATATAAATGATTTTAATTTTTTAGAGCAAGAATGTGAATAAAATAGCTTACATTGCCAGTTAATAAGACATCTTTCATCTTGCCAATATTAATGTCGATAGGTGGCTTCGTAATCCTAGATTTGAGTTATGTGAATCTCCTGCAACTTAGAAGAAAGAATATTATAAATCCTGGTATGCATCGCTTGCATGATGTAAAAAAGTTTTGAATTATTAGTAATTGAATCGTTGGCATCCAGTCGGCAGGTTCTCAACGGCTTTTAAAAGGTTGACAAATTTTTTCTGGATAAGTCACGTCAAATTTAAGTCTGGATTTTCTGGATAAGTCACGTTCGATATTTAGGAAAAAAATGTGCACAATTTTGAGGAATGTTCGTTTAGTCGTTTTTGAAATAGATCTTTAATGAATAAAATTTTTAATTCCACATGAAATTTGCCCGTAACGAATGAAATGATCAATTTGCAACGGAAAAAGCCTGTTCAAAAATTTTCGAGTATCCGTGTAGTCATTAATAAAACAGAATTTATATAACTTAATTTCCTATTTCAACTTGAGAATTTCCCAACCCAGAAATGTATTCGTTTTACGACGCCAAAAAAATACTGTTTGTATTCTACGAGTGTTTGTTCATTCGTTTCTATAATAGAATTAATATGAATAACTTTTTTGATTCAACTTGAAAAATGTATTCATTTTATAACGAAAAAAATGCTGTTTGATTAAAGCACGAGTGATAGACGGACGATGTGTCATACGTTGTTCGTCTCTTGCAGTGAGGTCATGTGTAAATGTATGTACCGTAATATGAGCATGCAAGTGCATGCATTGACTCACCGGTGTTCAGAAGCTATACGTCATTTGTCTCTTGCAGTGAGGTCTTGTGTAAATTTATGTACCGTAATGTGCATGCATGTGCATGCATTGACTCACCGGTGTTCACATGCCATACGTTGTTTCTCTCTGGCAGTTTAGTCATCATTGTTCTTCTTCCGTCCGTTAACGTCAGGGCTTATCAGCAGCTGCCTTCTCGCTGATTTCACTGCCTTCGTTTTAACACTCTGATATCTTTGACAACAATTACTGTATAAACAACAAAATAAAACAATACTCAAGCAGTTTTCTAACAACCCTTTGCTGAGGTCCAAACGGTATTCATAGTCCCTCGAACCCCACTCCGGCCATCGTGCCGAATGCGGCCCGTCAAAATACATTATGCCGACTGTATTGCGCGTACGTACTCATTACGAGTCGATATACTTTGCAATATTTCACAATAATTAGTTTATTTTCTCAACTCTCAATTACTTGAAGGTAATTGAGATGAGTAATTTACAACGCGAATCGAACATGGAGGCGGGATCTTCCGAACAAGTTATATTATTAAGCATGAGAATGAGATACTCGATATCATTTCCATGAAATAAAAGCGAAGTTTAAGATACTTTGCAACAGTATCGTAATAGTTCAATCCCAATATGTGAACAATTTGGTCCTAAAATTTGTGTTCCAGAATTATCAAAACATCCAACGACTGAAGAAAATAGTACAAGGATACAGTATATAGCTCTTGAATTCAGTGACAGCTGAATTCATTATTTTTTATTCCTGAGTGCTTTTAAATGTTCAAATGCACACGGAAGCTTCTAAAACTATTTCAAATTAGTTCGTAGAATAATTATTCATTACTTAAGTACGTGCATTCAAGTGCTCAAGCTGCGTATATATCACCATATGAAAAGTTATATTTCTATCCGGCATATTTTGAATAGCAAATTACAAAGTACCTTTTAGTTCAGTTGGAACAATGCCTATGTTAGGTTGAAGGTTTCATTGGCACATTGTACACTGATAGTGACATTTACTTCACGCTTTCATCATATTTGTCCTATAAAATAGAACATATTGTATCTTTCTAATGATCACGCACAGGAATATTCGTATGTAAACACGATACAGCAAGCAAGACTTTTTGAGCTGACCAACCTTGAGGCTCTCGCGGCCAAGAGCCCGAGACTGCGAGTTGCCACTGACCATTGTTGCGGGTTGCCTATTCGCCCTCTTGAGTAGTTGAGTGGATGTGGAGTCTTGCCTGCTTCAGTGTGGCAGTGGCGTTCAGTCGGTGGGGTGTTTGTGACGGGAACTCCCGCGTGTGTAAAATGCATATTATCAAAAATCTCATCTATAACACGATATAATTGAAACTCAGATGATTCTAAGTTACAGTACGTGACTAAGTTATAGTACTAAATGGGATTAGTTGTGGTCATCAATTGCATTTTATCATTTTTAAAGGACAAGGTCGATTAAAAAAAACTAAGAATGCAATGTGGAGTGTTTGGGGTGTTCCCCTCACGACTGTTTGTCTCACCAGAAACAAGTCCAGGATGTAATGCACGTGTTTTAGTTCGACCAGCCTAACAGAATCGAATGCTGGTGTGCACTGGCTTTCGTTAGCGTCAGTGATGAGGGCCGATCTCCGTTGTTAGTTGATAGTGCGAGGTGCGCTCACAGTTCTTAGTTAAAGTAAAGTTTTTGAGTTAATCAGTGAATATTTTTTTGTTCTGTGTGGATATGATTATGAGAGGTAAGGAGCAATCAGCCATTTTCTAGTAATAATATTGATAAGTCACTGTTGAACGTACGAATAGTCAATTTCCGTGTGTTCTATTATGTTTTTTATGCGAAAAATTCTCTCTGCGGCTAACGCCTCAGCCGAGTAGGTAGCGATCCAGCAGCGTTGAAGGTTCCAGCTTCGGTTCGAGGTAACACGTACGAGACAGCTACACAGACCATATAATATGCGCCTTTGACCTACAATGTTCATAACAATTATATAGTGTGAATGAATTTCATCTCATTAATACCTGAAGAAAATAACTATTTCTTATAAATACCTAAAATGAACGGCTCCTAGCATTACTACCAATATAAAATCGAGGTCCAGGTCTACCTAAGTCACTAGCAAACTTATTTAATAAAATAATCACACTGGCTCCTGGGTACGATGTAAATTACTACTGCAGGGAGAACTGTTCTATAACATTGTGAGCACAGAATAGTCAAATCACGAAACAACTTCATAAGATGATCATGATGTTAATTGAAGAATTTTTATATATCTTCAATTTCGAGGTAATATCTCTGAAATGTGAACTGAATTACGTTTAAAGTAATGGTCAGAACATGAGCGTTTGGTATCGTAATCCCAAATCTAGAGAATAAGTAGAGATTATTAAAATAAAACTATAATAGATGCACAATCCCAATTAATTTAGAATTTTGCACACTAAGAGATGGTAGAATTTGACTTAACCTGCTTCCACCCACAATGTATTATTGACATCCTACAATTCCAAAACTCATTTCTAGCAACCAAAAACATAGCACGTTACATTGTATTTTACATTGCGCATCGCATTGGGCTTCGAAACGTATACCTACTACTGTACCTCAGATTGCGCTTCACAGTGCACTACTCGCAGCAGTACAGTAAGCAACTCCAAGATTCAGCTGCCAGCAAGCGATAATGTCATTAATTAATAACTTTCCTCTGCTCTTAGTTAATAAACAGCGGAGAAAGGGTCGGGCCTTCACAGTATCCGAGTATCGTGGCTGCCGCAGTTTAAGCGTGGCAACCACTACACAAAAGCCTTGTGTGATCATAAAATTTTGGTAGTACGCGTCTTGACTTAAGAGAGCAGAAACAAGAAAAGTAATTCGTGACGTAAACTCGACAAATTACTCATGAAACAGCGTACATTAGACTCCACTGGCACTACTCGACCAACTGCCATATCCTAAAATAAATGCAACCTTTAGTTTTGGCCAGAACCATTTGCTTAGTTCATGAGTATGACTAGTAATTAAGAGAAGAATAATTTCCTTCTTCTCTTCAAAATTCAAGATGAGCTAAGAAAAATTCAGATAAGCAAAAGAAAATACGGATTCAAGTAAACAAGTAATCATTAGATGGCATGACGATCATACCAACAACAGGAGGGAAAAAGAACCAACAACTGCAAACCAAATTTGTTGGAGCCTGAAACCTTTTACATACAATAGCTAGCCTCGTTTTAATCCCTAAGTCATTTTAACATTTTTATTAGTTTTTATAAATTTTTATTTGTTCTGTGCTTGAATGTGCAATTTTTTTAGTGTGTCCGAAGTTGCAACATTGAACTTTGACTGAAGAGTTATTTTCTCCCGTGAATCAATGCAAAGATTTTGTACATAAATTTTCTACTTATTTGAAAGAATTTTTACCTCTTAATTTAATGATCAGTAGAAGCAAAATTCGTGTGAAGAAAGCACTTGTATCTAAAAA